CCAGGGGCCCCTCCCGCAAAAGGCACAAGCTAGCTGAAACAGCTGCGGAAGGGAAGAAAGAGGAGGAAGACAGGGGGGCAGCCGTTGCACTGCCGTGGGTGAATACCCCTGTTTGAGCAAGCCTAAACAAAACACTTTATCGATCGGGTGTTCTCCGCGCTGCCTGGCTGGATTCTCTCGCAATGCGCCTCGGGCGGGGAGGTGGTGGACCAGCCTGAACTCTTAGCTGCCGAGCAAGTGTCGGACCACGCGGCGGTGGCGGTGGCCATTCGCCTGCGTGATGAGCCTCCTGCTGGCCAGCGCCCAGTGCCGAGGGGGATCTTCCACGCGCCCGAATACGCTATATGTTTGAAGATGTCGGCAGAGGCATCAGACTACTCACACCTATCTACCCCCTCAAGCATGAGTACTTTAAGGTGTTGATGATTGAAAGCGCACGTCGCGCACGCATAACGGTCATCTTCCGTCGGCCTGACTCGCCCCTTGCCCGATATCTGATGATTCGCAGCATGGCTCGCGCCGTCTTTCGCCAGCGCTGGCAACTCGCGCTCCGTCTTCAGCGTTCTCACCCTCTATGTCGTGAACACCTCCACCTCGATTTTGATAACGAGAAGGCCCCCCTCCTCTCCACCCCCCTCCTTCACCGCGCTCTCCGACGCCTTGCGCAGCGAGGTGGCGCGTGCGACTCGCCAGAGTTTGCAGGCTCGCGCTCGGCAGCTCACTGATCAGGCTAAACTGTGTCGGATTCAGCGTCGTCAGCGACGCACGCAGCAGATGTCGAAGCTCTGGTCGCCTTTTGATCGGAGAACCCCGCTCGCTGGCGCTCGCGCGGCCGATCGTACGGTAGTTCAGACCCCTGCCAAGATCCTGGAGGCTCGCGCCTCGCACTGGGGCCCTGTTTTCAAGGAAATTATCCCGGCAAAGCAACCTAACAGCCATGTGTAGGAGCATCTCTGGGTCGAACAGCATGTCGATGTATCATATGCACTAACTTAAAGCGGGCGCGTTACGTTAGGAGGAGGGATCAAGGAGAGGGGGCCGGCGAGGGGGGGGCTGTGCCCATCCGAGGGAACGGGGCAGCCCCCCCCGCCCCAAAAAATGCTTCGGCCTCTCAAGGCCCCCCCCGCTCCACGAATCCCATTGGGGGGTCGAGATCCCCGCTCTGCAGTGGGATTCGCGGAACGGGGCGCCCCCCAGGTGCTTGTTATCTTCGCGCTGGCGCCGGCAGTGTGCACCTGAGGGAGCGCGGGTTGAAATGAGTGAGGGATCAGGAAGGATGTGGAGGGGCGTTCCGCTCTGAAGCGTCCTCACAATCTGGCAAAACCGCAACCCCTCCCCGGGGGCACCGCGCGTGCTGGACCAGGCACATGCGTCGCCCTAAGTCGGCGCGCACATATGAGAGGCCCATGTTTGTGTGTCTGTCCCCCAGGAAGGCCCGACATGGCGAGCAGAAGACCCGAATAATTCGTCCGGTGTGTCTGTCCCCCAGGAAGGCCCGACATGGCGAGCAGAAGGCCCGAATAATTCGTCCGAGGGGCTCCCCAGAGGGGCTCCCCAGAAGGGCGCAGGGAGCCTTCCTCAGAGCCCTGGTGCGCACGACCTTGGCCGAAGGCCATCAGATATGCAAGTACAACAGTTCATGCAGGAATCTCTTGTGCATGTGCTGGTGCCACTGCTGCGAGCAGGCAGTGGAACGAGCGAGGAGGGGGTATCAACCTTGACCGCCCGCCCCCGCCCCCTTCCCTTGACCGCGCTCCGCGGCCGGGCGCAAGCGCGGCCGGTCGGGGCAGCCGGCCGGGGCAGCCGGCCGGGGCAGCCGGCCGGGGCAGCCGGCCGCCCTCCCCTCCTGCTCGTCCTCCTCCTCCTCCTCCTGCTCGTCCTCGTGCTCCTCCTGCTCGTCCTCTTTCTCCTGCTCCTCCTCCTCCTCCTCCTCCTCCTCTTTCTCCTGCTCCTCCTCCTCCTCCTCCTCCTCCTCCTCCTCCTCCTCCTCCTCGTTCTCGTCCTCTCCCCTCCTCCTCCTCTCCTCCTCCTCCTCTTCCTCCTCCTCCTCCTCCTCCTCCTCCTCCTCCTCCTCCTCCTCCTCCTCCTCCTCCTGGTGGTCCTCGTTCTCCTCCTCCTGGTGCTCTCCCCCCCCCTCCTCCTCCTCGTCCTCCTCCTCCCTCCTCCGCCTCCTCGTCCTCCTCCTCCTCTTCCTCCTCCTCCTTCCTCCTCCTCCTCCTCCTCATCCTCCTCTCCTCCTCCTCCTCCTCCTCCTCCTCCTCTCCTCGCGCCTCCTCCTCCTCCTCCTCCTCCTCTTCCTGGTCGTCCTCGTTCTCGTCCTCCTCGTCTTGCTCGTCCTCCTCCTCCTGGTGCTCTCTCCTCCTCCTCCTCCTCCTCCTCCTCCTCCTCCTCCTCCTCCTCCTCCTCCTGGTGGTCCTCGTTCTCCTCCTCCTGGTGCTCTCCCCCCCCCCTCCTCCTCCTCGTCCTCCTCCTCCCCTCCTCGTCCTCCTCCTCCCTTCCTCCTCCTCCTCCTCCTCTCTCCTCCTCCTCCTCCTCCTCCTCCTCCTCCTCCTCCTCCTCCTCCTCCTCCTCCTGGTAGTCCTCCCCCTCCCCTCCTCCTCCTCCTCCTCCTCCTCCTCCCTGGTCGTCCTCCTCCTCCTGGTCGTCCTCCTCCTCCTGCTCGTCCTCCTCCTCCTCCTGCTCGTCCTTCTTCTCCTGCTCCTCCTGCTCCTCGTCCTGCTCCTGCTCGTCCTCGTCCTCCTGGTCTTGCTCGTCCTCCTCCTCGTCGTGCTCTTGCCCCTGCTGAAAATGTGGCCCAGGAATGGGAGTTCTGGGAAGTCGAAGAGCACGAAGTTGCCTACAGTTGGCTACGGGCATTCAAAATGTGGCCCGGGAATGGAGTTCTGGGAACTCGAAGAGCACGAAGTGGCCTACTGGGAGGAGTTGGGCTCCGGGCATTCAAAATGTGGCCCGGGAATGGAGTTCTGGGGACTCGAAGACCACGAAGTGGCCTACAGTTGGCTCCGGGCATTCAAAATGTGGCCCGGGAATGGAGTTCTGGGAAATCGAAGAGCACGAAGTGGCCTACAGTTGGCTCCGGGCATTCAGAATGTGGCCCGGGAATGGAGTTCTGGGAAGTCGAAGAGCACGAAGTGTGCGACTGTTGGTTTAAAACGACTTCTGCGGCACCCTGTCCGGCACCCGCCCAGACCCCCCTGTGGAGTCATCTGCTGCTCTCTTTTGACCCCACTAGAAACCTATCAGAACAAGCTGTTAGGTAAAAACCACATGACTTTGAGGCGGGCGAGAACTTTCTGGACGCGTCCCCCACCCGGCTTGATTGTTCCGGGCTGCCCCCCCCCCCTCCGACCTTTAATCAGTTTTCGGCTTTCATTAAGAAGCTCCAACATAGTGCTCCAGGCCCTGACAGGCTTCCTTACGCTGCGTGGCAGCACGCGCCAGGAGGCATCGACATGCTGTGGGAGTGCATGCAGTGGCTGTTCTTAGGCCGCGCTCTTCTGCCTGATTATAATCAGGTGCTGGGAGTCTTTATACCCAAAGGAGAAGAGGACGAGGATTCGGCCCATGGGGTGGTCAGGCACTCGTCGGACACGCGCCCGCTCGGCTTGAAAAGCTGCGATAATAAGATTATCACCGCTATGGCGATTCGGCCCCTTACCCACGCCCTTCCCCTCGGTTTGGCCGAGCCCCAGCGGGGCTTTGTTCCCTCCCGAAAATTCGGAAATAACATCGTGGAGCTCGATGCCGTCGCCCGTCAGACGAGCATGGAGCCTGGCGTTGAGCGCCGCTGTCCAGCTCTTGTGAGCTACGATTTCGGCCAGGCGTTCCCTTCGATGTCTCAGAAGTGGATGATCCAAGCGTTAAAACGTACCCAGGTCCCTCCCCCCCTTCTGGCCTTCGTGATGCTGCTTTACGTGCATGTTGCTTGTGTTGGGTGTTTCGGGGGTGACTTTGCGATGCTTTACTACATCACGAGCGGGATCATCCAAGGCTGCCCTGCGAGCGGCACTTTGTTTGCTGTAGGTGCAGACCCATTCCTGATCAAGTTTCAGGTCACTATTGAGCGCCCGCTTAGAGGCGTTGTTCGAGCTTGCGCTGATGGTATTGGTCTCGTCATTTTCAGGATTGCCGATCTCTGGTTCGTCTGGGTCATTTTCGAGGACGTCGAGAAAATCGCACACCTTCGGTTGAAACACAAAAAGTGCAAGCTCGTGCCGCTGCTTGGTGCCTTCACGGAGGCGCTGGAAGCGCTGTATAGATTGAAGTTGCGTCGATTTGTTCCTGAGTGGCACGACTTCGTGATAGCGAAGTCCGTACTGTACCTTGGGCTCTGGCTCGGCCCTGCCGTCTCGCCCACGACGTCGTGGGACAAGCCCTTCTGCAAGTTTGTAGCTCGAGCTCGTGAGCTAGCTCGTCAAGGATCCGCTCCATCACTTACGGCGTTTATGTATGATTATCGAGTTGTCTCTGTTCTTTCTTATGTTGCTAAATTTCAACCATTACCACCCCATCTTCAGAAACAAGAGCTCAAGCTACTCACGAGCTTGTTTAACCTTCCGCTCTGCCGCCTTACAGAAGCGGCCTGGTGTAACCTTGTTCGATGGGGAGGTCCGCCCATCAAGAGCTTGAAAATGTTGAGCCACGCACAGCTTGTTCGAGCCAGCTTATATACTTTCGATAGTTGGAGAGAGAGTCCTCCTCCTTCCTCCTCCTCCGCCTCCGCCTCCGCCTCCGCCTCCGCCTTCGCCTCCGCCTCCGCCTCCTCCTCCTCCTCCTCCTCCTCCTCTCCTCCTCTCCTCCTCCTCCATCCCCCTCCCCCTCCTCCTCCTCCTCCTCCTCCTCCTCCTTCTCCTCCTCCCCGTCCTTCCTCCTCCCCGTCCTTCCTCCTCCCCGTCATCGTCCTCCTCCTCCTCTTCCTTCTCCGCCTCCTCCTCCTCCTCCGCCTCACCCCTCGCCCCGTCCGAGCCCTCCCCTTCCCGTGGCGCGCGGGGGGGCGGCGCCCAGCGGGCGCCCTGCGGCGTCCGCAGCCCAGTCCAGGCCTGCGGGGCTGTGCGGGGCGGCGCGGGGCGGGCGGCCGGCCCTGCGCGCGGGCGGGCGGGGCCTGGCCGGCGCTCGGCGCTGCACTCTTCTGCTGGCACCGCCGGGGGGTGCCATGGCTGGCGGCGAGCGAGGGGGGAAAGTGAGAAGCCAGACCCCCTCGCGCTGTGAAAAAAATCACCACGGGAGGAATTCTGCTATTTGGGGCATCCAGGGGCCCGGGCCTCGGGACCGTCAAAAACCGACTCAGGATGAAGAGCCGGTCCCGGGGAAGGGGTCCAGACCTCTGGGGGTCGACGTTGTGAAAAAATCACGACGTCGGGGGTCTGGGAGGAGTCCTGCCCCCTTGTGCGCGCCGCCAGGTCAGAGCCCGCGATGCGGGACGGGCGCGCGCTGGGCCACTTGTGCCGTTTTCCGCGGACTCCCTCTCATTTCGATTTCTCTGATTCGATTCGACTTCGATTGTTTCCGATTCCGATCCGATACGTGGAAAGCAGCAAGGCGGCGGGGCTTATCAGAAGCCCTCGCGCCTTCTGCAAAGTTTTCGGCGTCCTCGGAAGTCCCAGGAAACTTCTCAGGAGGCGGGGGGACTTCAGAGCCTTCTGAGCGTTCCACCCTGGCTCGCCGCCGACAAAAGGGAATGTGGGGGCTCTGCTTGAGCACATCAAATGGCACAATCGTGATTTCTCGAAGATCCGCGCGGATGTCCTGGAATCCCCTCCCTGGCGCGCGGAGCGCGCCAGGGGCGGCGCCACACCACCACCACCACCGCCGCCACCACCACCACCGCCACAACCACCACAACCCACCACCACCACCACCATCACCACACACCACTACACCACCACCACAAACGCCGCCACCACCACCACCACCACAACCCTCCACATCCCACCACAACCACCTCCACCACAAACCACCACACCACCACCAACACCGCTATCACCAGCCACCACCAAAACCACCACCACAACCCATCACAGCCACCACTACCACCACCACAAAACACCACACCACCACCACCACCACCACCACAAACTACCACCACAACACAACCACCCACCACCCACCACCACCACCCACCACCAGAACCACCACCAGTAGCATCATCACAACAAACACCACAGCCCGCCACCACCACCACCGCCACAAACCACAACGCCACCACCACCGCCACCACTGCAACCAACACTACCACCACCACCGACACAATACACCACCACCAACAGAAACTGCCACAAAACCGTCACCTTCACCACAGCCACCACCACCAGCACCACAACAACGCACCACCGCCACCACCACAACAACCCACCCCGCCTACCACCACCACCACAATCCAGCACACCACCACAACAACCGCCACAACCACCACCATCACCACCACCACAAACCACCAGCACCAGCACCACAATCCAACACACCACCACCACCACAAACCACAAACCACCACACAA